CAGTAAGAATAAAAAAAAAAAATGACCAGGCCGATAATTGTGTTCTAATAACCCAAATTAATCACTGCCCATTAGCCTTCATTATACAGTTTAGCGGCTCCGGAGCCACACCTGTTATCGCCCACAGGAAGTGAAGGATTTGCATAACTTTATTTCTCTTTTGCATTTAGCGGGGGGAGGGGGGGCTCCCTTTTTGGGGGCAGAATGAGGCGCTTGGTCACGTTTGTGCCATTTCCAGCAGTACGGCCAGCTCTCTCCGCTGCATGGAAACCGAAGCCAAAACTTATTCCAGTCCAGGCAAAAGTTCACTCACAAAAAGTTATATATTTTTTCCTGTTTTAATATTTTTTTAAATGACATTTTGTGCGCTATAAAAGCACCGTCTAAGGCAGGGGAGGGCACCTCTGGAACTTCAGCTGTTGTGAAACTGCCAATCCCATCATGCATCTGTCTCTGGGAGTCATGCCTGCGGCTTGGAGAATCTTGCAATGCCTCATGGGAGGGCCGGAGTTTGCCCACCCTTGGTCTAAAAGCAAGGGTAGGCAACCTTGGAACTCCAGCTGTTTTGAAACCACGAATCCCATCATGCGTTGCTCTGGGAGTCATGTCTGGCTGTCAGTCTTGCCATGCATCAAGCAATTTTCGTACAGGAGAGGAGCCTGCAGAACTGTGCAAGACCGAAGCCCTAGTGAAGGGGGATTTGCTGAGCCCCTGAAACGCATTGGCTCTCTTTTTATAAACTTTGCACTACGATCATTAAAGGAGAACTATGAGGGGTGTGTTTTTCACTCACCTCATAGTTCTAGCCGACCTGTGACAATGAGACTGTCACAGGTCGGCTCAGTAGATCAGGAGGTGAGCGAACACATACCGGGTTCCCTTACCTCTCCATCCTGTCACGGCTCTCTGCTGTGACAGGGGAGGGGCTGGATTCCCTCCTCCGATCCGCCATCGCTGACTGGCGGGACGGACGGGGGAGGGTACAGCTGGCTCTGCCTCTAGATAGGCAGAGCCAGCTGCCACTCACGCAGCTGGGCTGATCTGCGCCGTCTCAGTATACCGCGAGCTGTAGCTCGCGGTATACTGAGCTCTGGGTGACTGGAGGACGCTAGTTTGTGTCCTCCCGTTACCCGGAGAACTATGGGGAAAAACACTGACCCCATAGTTCTCATTTCAAGTCTTACTGGACCTTTTTATGAATTTTTTTGGCACTCTCAAGTCATTTGCACTTTTTCTCTGCAATGCATCATGGGACGACAGCTGGAGTGCCTACCCCTGGTCTAAAGGCATATCAAAAATGACATTGAACATCAATAAAAAAATCTCGGTAACATTTGCAGTGGACTCGGCAGAAGCACAGATATATCGGCGCACACAAAATTCCACATTCATATGGTGATGCATGCCGAGCAATAAACATATTTTCTGGGGAAAAAAATGCCCAAAAATATATTTTAAGCTGAATAGGACAAAGCCATAGAAATAAAGAGAATGAGGGCAAAGGGGGCTTTGTGGCCCGGGAAAACCTACACCCAAAAAACATTGGAAATGTTCGTCTTGATAAATTCCAATTGAAGTTGAGGGATACGCGGGGTGATCCAAAAGTCCGTAGAAAGAAGAGGCTCAGGATCAGGAAACTTTTGCGTTTTTCCAACAATCTTCCTTAACTTTCCCTCCATGCCGTCCTTTAGAATTTTGATTGAAGACCCTTAAATGACTCCATAACAGCATTCATGACTTCATTGTTTCCAAAGACTCCTTCCTCACAACCAATGTTGGGAAGAGGTAGTAGTCATAGGGGACCAGGTCTGATAAGTAGTGGGGGTGATCCACTGAATCCCGCTACACTGATGGAAGCCAAAACAAATGTGTGCCCAGGAAGTTTTCCAGGTGGAAGGGGACTATTCAACACAACTTGCTTCACCTCTGCTTCCCTCATTAAAAGGTGTTCTACACATTTCTCTGTTTCCTGAAATATGTAGATGTCTGAAATAAACAGGGCCATGAAGCGAACCTCGGCCTTGCCCACACAAGCTTCTGCTACTATTGATTGCTTCGGTGGAGACGAGCCAAACCAACACACCGGAGATGTAGCTGGAGGGAGGAATGGAGCCTATCCTCAACTGGAGCAGCTGGTGGTATGTTCACTGACATAGGTTGAGCTCTCCAAAAAAAAGGTGTCTGAATTGTTCAGAAACTTAAAGTGAACCTCGGCTTCATCCATGCAGGGCTTAGGTAGTTCCCAGTGCCGATACTATTGATTGCTTCGGTGGAGATTAGCCGAGGCACCACCTAAAATGTATTTGGGGAGAGTGGAGCCTAGCTTCATCTGGAGTGGCTGGTGGTATGTTCAATGAAACAAAAGTGGGAAAAAAATTCCAGCACAAGGGGCGAAGGGGGTTCTTTACAGTTAGAGCGGTTAGGGTCTGGAACTCACTGCCACAGGCGGCGATTTCAGCAAATAATGTGGAATTGTTCAAGAAACTTTTGGACGATTTCTTAAGGGACCGCAATATACAGGGGTACAGGTACTCCTAGAATGAGATCCTAATAGGTTGGACTTGATGGACTAATGTCTTCATTCAACCTCAAATACTATGTAACAAGTAGAACTCTACAAAAAGGTGTCCGAAATGTGAAGGAACCTAAAGTGAACCTCACATACGACTATGCAGGGCAAAGCAACAGGATCACTTTAAATCTGCCCCCCTCTAGCATCGAATACCTACACTTCACTCCTGCATTACTATAAGCGAGGAGAAGCAGCCATGTGTAAGCGCCGAGCCAATCCCAGTTGGAGCTTAAAAAGGGCTGAGGACTCTCTGGCTGGCCCCCTATGTCAACGGTAGGCCAATCACCAATGTTATCACATGACAGGAAGGGGACTTGATTCCCATATTGTAAGTACAGACTTCTTCTCCGTTCCCCTTATTGAACGGATCAGCGAGAGTGCAAAAGGAAGGCGAGTGTATGTAGGAGTAAGGACGAGTTATATACCAGATATAGCACAAGGGTAAGTCCACCCAAAAATTAATACTTCGAGGGCATAGTCTCACGACTTCTGTCTGCAATTTTACTGAATCCCTGTTTTCTTTTACTGTCATGGATTTATTTATTTTCTGAACTGAATGAGGACGGCGTTATGAATATTATGCAGTATGTGTAAAATATACAGGGACACTACCAAGAAGCAAAAGAAAATGAAGTTTAAAATGACCTAAAATTCCAGGAAGAAAACAAAACAAATATCGGGGTCAGGAGGAGTGAACTTTTGTGACATGATTCAGTTCCGATCCACCCACAGCATGAAAACAGAGAAACTAGGTTGCCTATTTATAATTCCTGTTACACAATTGTCAGGTGCCCGTCTTCCAATGACATGAAAGTCACTGCACGTCAGAGGCGGATTCAGCACCCTCCAACACCTAGATTATTACAGGCAAGCGCTGACGTGTCGCCACTTATTACAAATTAGCATTTTTACCATCAACAGTAACCGAAAATACACAATGACAGCTACATTGTATCAGGGAACAGCTGTTCCTAAATTCCTTAAAGGTAGAGTTAGAACGATCAATCAAGCTGGTTTTAGGATAAACATTTATAGAAAAATATATAATTGCAATACTTCCCAAGCCACTATGACGTTTGTTAACTAACATGAACTTTACAAACTTTGCAATGGATCGTCAGCAGTACTCGGTGTAAAAGAATTCCCTTACATTTTCATCCCTCTGCTTGTGTAACCAACTTATTTTCCTTCATAGGAGGTCTGCACAGAGCAGATAGGCTCCAGGAGTTTTATCTTTGGTAAGGATTGGAGAAGAGGGGCTGCTGTAGGTCTAAAGCAGGAGTAGCCAAACTCCGGCCCTCAAGCTGTGGTGAAACTACAAATCCCATGAGGCCTCTTTCCCTGTCTGTGGCTGTGAGAATCTTGCAATGCCTCATGGGATTTGTAGTTCCGCCACAGCTGGAGGGCCAGAGTTTGGCTACCCCTGGTCTAAAAGGGTTATTGGGGTGGCGCTTGGTACTGGTCATGTGATTATTGGAGGCTGACCCTCCAACGTTGCACTCACTTCTAGCCAGTCATATCTCAATAGCAGGCATGTCTGCACAATAAAGCCGGCTCACATTTTTAATAAACCTTTTTTAAACTAGACTATCAACGAAAAATAAATAGAGTTTCTGTGTATAAGAACGCTCTTGTTCTAGATAGGAACCTACTATCTAAAAAGGGAGCTAAAGAACAAAAACAGGTCCCGGATATGCTTCCTTCCAATAAGGGAACATCAGCGCATAAAAATATCCCTGCGCACTCTGCTCCTGTAAGTATGTTTAAAGCGTAAGACTGACAACACTGCAAAAGGGGCTTTTTTTTATTCCAGCTGACCTAGAGACGTGACATGTCTATGCTGTATCCAGGTTAGTGGCCTACCAAGTAGTCAAGGAAAGGATCCAGGGCCCATAATAATGGGCAGGGCCATATATAGATATTGTGCTACCTTAGGCACACTTGCATTAGGATGTCCAAGCACTGGCTCACTTGGTCGCTTCTGCCAAAAAAAAAAAACACTACTAAACTGAGCTACTGGAGGGAGCGTGTGGTCTGCTTTATAGGCAGAACTCTGAACCGCACAGACTATCAAATAAGGGAAAGGAAAGATTGTTTCATGAAGTGGAATAAGTCTAGACTCCTCAACATTCCCTGCACTTCCTTCCCTCTCTAGTGTTCTTGCTGTAGGTAGCCACACATGTCCAGGAGGTGGCCAGAAGAGGGGAAACGCCATAAAGGAAAGAGTGAACAGCAAATTGCCCCCTCGGACCCTGCTCCACTACGCACTGGCCCACTAGTGTCATTATGGTAAATACAGCCCTAGTGACAGGTTCACTTTACAGATGGGGGAAGAAGAAGGCGGGCCCGTCAGATTATGAATTTCTCCACATCTAGAATGGTTTACTCATCCATCGCGTAATAACGGCAGCTGCCGGCAGACTTACCATACATTTTGCCCTCATCGGATAATATAATTTTCCTCCTCCCACACGGTGGGTAGATGGCTAAGGCTTCTTGAAAGCTCTGCTCTATATCCGGGCTCCAGACGCCCTCGGCGTCATTGTCCATCGGTTTCTCATTCGTATCGCTCATCCTTTCGATGTCCTCGGCAGGACTTTCGCTGCCGCTCCAACTGCTGGGCTCAATGGTTGCGGCTGGGTTATCCAAGCCGAAGCCTGGACGCCGGACAGAGAGAAACCTGGAAGGGAAGGAGGACAGGATATTAAAATACATTGTGGCCATATCACACTCATGTTAATCTGCACAGTACTGCGAGCCAATAATCTTTCAAGGAAATAAAAGCTTTCAATC